CATTTTTAACAAATGCTTCCAAAAAGTGATGGGGCCAACATCAACCGTTTCAAAAAGTGGTGCTGACATGTCCCCAGCATTCCCAATGTAAATGCCACCTATGGGCCTCCCTCCCTACAGGTGGAGCTACTCCATGCTTACCGCTTCACCTCCGCTCTCCTCCTGCTCACTCTGGCCCTGTGCTTCACTAACACACGCCTCTTCATCTGCCTGGCAGTGGCCACAGTCCTCCTTTACTCCTTCAAGTGCCTGTGACTGCACTATGTCAGGTACTTTCAGCTGATGTTGAAGCTTCTGCAGCCCCAGTAGCAAAGAAATCAGTTATTTTTGCACATTAGGCGGCAGCCATCTGAAGATTTTTTTTTTGACCTGCAACGCAAGAAAAAGATTGGGGAGGGGGGAGGAGTCATTAATAACTTATTACAGTTAGAATAAGTAGCATTCCTTATGGTTCAGAAAAAACATCTGGTGATAACTGCATTTGATTATTGTGCACGGCAAAGTGTCTGAAAAGGACCTTAAGAGGTGGATGCATAATTCGGCAGAACAGATGTTGTAGGCTACATGCTGAAATTTGCATCCATTGCCTACATTTAATTACATGTTGTGTGTGTAGCATGTAGGAACTACGAATTTTGTTTCGTTACGCGGCTTTGTGCTCTATAATAACTAATAAACAACCTTGTACATTGTACGTTGTACATTTAGCTGTGCTGACATTGCTGAGCCTCTGGGGAAAGAGACACAAATAGTAATGTTAGTTAGCCTTACGGAAAAGCAGATAGGTAAGCTAACGGCAATGTATCAAGTCGGCTAAAAGCAGTAAATGTACCGTTATCATGTAACAAGCATGGATTAGTTAAACCTCAAGCTAATAAAAATATTACTGTATCGCTGCAGTGGGAGTTTACCTGAGTTTCCAGCACGTTGTGTGAAGCTGCTGTCACACTGCCACACTGTCACACTTTTTCCTCCGGGAGTATTGTGCCAATATGCCGACTCGCTGCGCTGTATGAGCCAGGAACGTTGAAGTAACAGAGCCTGAACATGTCTATAGAAAAGCCACAGCCAGCATGCCAGTATTTCCATGTTTATTGTGGGATCTCTGTATAAAAGCAGTTGTGTTTATTATTATGCTCGCGCATGAGTTTAAACGAGCACATACCTTGTTGCGATCTTAAAACTGCACCGCTAGTGGCTGGTGAAAACTACATATTGCCCCTTTAATGTACTTAGAGCACCACCAATAACCCTTGCTCCCATTTCTTTTCCAGTGGCCCCTTGCCACAAAAAAAATCCCCTCTGACCCGAAAAGCATTATTCCCTTAGACCACAAATAAAAAAAGAGATGTCTGTAAAATTGTTGACAGGACACCTCCAACTGCAAACAAGATAAATCACTAGTCTTTGTATTGTGAATTTTTAATCCATGGAGGTTTTAAATTTGGAAAATGTTCCCAGAGCCTAGAAAAGCTATTTTTAACTGCATAACGTCCCAATGTAAAGCCTGGACCAATGTTAAGTCAAATGACATCACTTGAGTCGAGCTAACGTGTCAGAAATGTAGGGTCATGATCACACACAACTGTAAATCAACCAGTCAGAATAGAGCATGAAATGACGCATAATACAAGGCAAGTTAGAAAAATGCTACTGCTAATACTACTGACGATATTAGTTATGATGATGTTTTGTTTACTACCAGAGAGCTGTTTGTAGACAAACACACACAGAGTGACTGCACACTCTCTCAGAGAGCCTCTTGTTGACGATGAAGGGAGTGGAAACACAAGAGCCCTAAAGTTTGTGTGTGTGTGTGTGTGTGTGTGTGTGTGTATGCATGTAAGCATGTGTCTGCGTTTTGATAGTGTGTGTGTGTAAGTCATTGAGGGGGATAAAGAGCCATTGTCTGCAGCTGCTGCATCCGCCACTCCTCCTCTCTGCAGCTGTGAGGAAATCAAACGCTCCTCTTTTCCCCCTCTCTGCCTCTGTCACAATCTGCTGATGCCTTATTAGGTCATTCATGGTGAAACGTAGTGATGACCCAGTGATGTAGTGCAGCAGGTACACCAGCACCATTGAGCTGTAACAAATAGAAAAATCCCACATAATTGACCAGCATTAATAAGAATAATAAACTTTATTTAAACAGAGTTTTAAAAAAAACGCTATATGTGGTAAAATCAAGATTAAGACAATTCAGCACTACAATAAATAAAATCAGGTAAAAGAAAGTTTAGAGAATGAAATAGAATGAAACACAACAGTGAAATACGATAAATAAATTAGTGAATTAAACAGATAAAACATTAGCTGAAATAATTAGAAAATGGAATTATTAGTAAATGGAATAATTAGTAAATCGACACAATTTCAATCAACAGCAATTTTGATGATCTACCATAAGTTAAAAGTCATTCATTGAGCAAAAATGCCAAACATTCACTGGTTCCACCATCTGAAATGTGAAGATTTGCTGTTTTCCTCAGTTTTATTGTAAATAAAATATCTATGGGTCTTGTGACTTTGGCCCAAGATACTTGTGATGTGCACTTTTCACTATTGTTTAGATTAAACAATTAATCAGAAGAATACTTCACGATGAAACAAAATTAATAGTTGTAGCTTCAGTGTGTGTACTACACCTGGATGATATTGTGTTATCTGCTAAACAGTCTTTAAGACTGAATTGTTTACAAGTTCTAGCTGAAGTGAGAGAATCACCATGATGTCCTCAAAAAGTGCCAACAGAGAGCTGAATGCTGCCTTAGAAACAGACACCAATCTATCTGCATGTTGCAGCCAGCTACTTGTTTTGCTCCATATGCACTTTGTTGATATAGCGCTTCAGAGGCTCCAATAAATACTTTCATTTTGTGCAAAGAAGGTACTTCCGTGGGCCGGCTGTAGCTCAGGAGGTAGAGCAGTTGTCCCTTTAGGGAGAAGGTCGGTGGTTCGATCTCCACAAGTGTCCTTGGGGAAGATACTGAACCCCAAATTGCTCCTGAAGGCTGTGTCATCAGTGTGTGAATGTGTGTCAATTATTAGTTCCTTTCTGATGTGAATGTACATTTATTGTTGGGAAAGTTACTCAGATATTGTAATAAGTTACTAGTTACCTATTACTCCTTAAAAAAGTAATAATATTACTATAAAAGTGACTAGTTATATTACTCGTTACCTTACTATATTACTTTCACAAGGTTTACAATGGACGACAATGTTATTTCCATATTAGACTGTGACACAATATGGTAATACTTACAACTGTGGAAAGAACGCCTCTCTCCCTTGTTTTCCATTTTTACTTTAGCTTCTTGGCTAACAGCTGACTTTATCAACATCAAGTCTGGTGCCGCTGACCTGCCACGCAGTCGCACATTTACGTCAAGGATGGTGCATTCCAGTAAGTCAGTAACGCAGCGTTACTTGGATTAGTGTGATTACTACTAGTTACTGGGAAAAGTAATATTATTACAGTAACACGTTACGGCCCAACACTAATTATAAAGCACTTTGAGTGGTTGAAAGACAAGAAAAGCTATATATAAGTACAGTCCATTTCCTAAGAAAACTTTTTTGGCCATTTTTGTATTTGACATTGATACCTAAACTGCATTTTGCTTTTTTCTCAAATGTATATTATTAAATATTTCATGTTGTATTTTCACACAGTTCTAAATTTTGAGACAGTTTAGTTAAAATCTACAAAACTCCCAACACAACTTCTTAAAATACACAATATGACAAACTGGAACAAACAGAAGATAAAGACTTAACACTCTCACACTTTGAAAATGGGTCCAGAAGACAAACTGTTTTTTTGTCACTTGATTAGTTCTGTCTATAGTGCCCAAAAGCCAATTTGCTGTCAGGAATGTGTCTGAAATTTATTGACTGAGTGAGCAAAATACGGGGTATAAAAACTACTTGCTCTTGTCACACAGTTTCTGACTGTGTTATCATGGTTTCCTCTTTCGTGTAAATGTAGCTTTTTGAAACAGTTAGAGCACTTGTATGACTTGGATTGGCATGAAACTCTCCAGGATTAAATCGTAAAAGTACACAAGATTAACAACCGCTTTAGAAAAAAAAAGTTGAAAGATAAAAACTTTGGGGTTGAAGTTGAAATGAAAAAAATGGTGGTCACAACATAAACCTACGGGGTCGTTAAAGTAACAGTAAAATTTAAATGGAACCTCCTGTCACTTCTCACCACTTGGGCCATTTAGTTTCAATCATGTCACACCTCTTCATCAGCAGGTGTGGTTTGTGCTGCTGTAAATGTTCAAATTTGGAGATTGAAAGTTAATTCCTGATATTCTGGACAGGTCGCCAGTCCATTGCAGGGCCACACAGACAAACAACCACTTACACCTAAGGGCAATTTAGAGACACCATCTTTGGACGGTGGGAGGAAGCCAGAGCACTTGGAGAGAACATGTAAACTCCACACAGTTAGGCCAGGGCAACCGGGGTTTGAACCCACGACCTTTTTGCTGTGAGGCGACAGTGCTAACCACTGTATCACCGCGCCGCTCGTCACTGGGAACAATCATTTCTAAAACAATCTCACTACAAGGTCTATTAAGTAGGCTACAATATGATTGCTTTGCTAATGGCTAGGTGAAATTATTTAGAGCTTTGTAACTTTTATTAATTCAAAGCAAATAAGGCCATAAGGCAAAAAGTTACTTTCAATTTCAAAATGATTTGGCCGACCGAATGTTCTCAGGGGAAATTTATAAAGATATATTTACAACTTAACTCATAAAAGGCAAAAATCTCATTATAAACAGAAATAAAAGGCTACAAGGATGTGTAGCCTAGCATCAAGATGTGGCATCCTAAGTCAAATGTGTTATTCAAAGTACTGTACAGACTATCAATGAATGGATATGAATGTGATGAACAGTGGGATCTCCTGTGAATGTTCAGCAGCGCTGCACCTTTAAATCTCTCCGCTCCTCCCTCTTCTCAATGACAAACCCGCAGAGCTTCTTTCACGCATCCAGTGGAAATGACAAACCAGAGGCGCTGCACGGGCCAGCATGTCAAACACTAACAATAATCATGGGCTTCAGCAGCAGCGACTCACTCACATCCTAAGACACTAACGCATCTCTGGGACATTTTGACGGCGTGCGGGCGAATCAAAGTTGGAGCGGGCTCGCCAAATGGACGTCGATGGACTGGAATGAAACCTATACTTCTATCGGACTGAAGGAAGGAGGGAAAGAAACCTCTGCATGTTCAAGTTTCCTGCTCCAACCAGAGGGGCATCGGTGCGCGCGTGCTGGATGTGGGTGCGTGTGTGGAAGTGTGTGTTGGATGAGTGTGTGTGCGTACCCGCAGGACCAGGAGCGGCGGCAGTGGTGGTGGTGGTGGCCGCGGGAAGATAAGTTTAGCGCCGTGATTTTTCCTCTTTCCCTCTGTTCTGTTGTGTTGCTTTCCAAGTCACACCACGGGACGGGAGGATTAACGTTTCCCTGATGAAAATTGATCATCCGTGGAGGGACTCTGTGATCGTGACTATGATGATGATGTCGAGTAAGAGCGTGGAGTGGCTGCAGGAGGAGCTGGAGTCCGGGGCCAGCTCCCTGCTGCTGCTGGACTGCAGACCCCATGAGCTGTACGAGTCCTCGCACATCGAGTCGGCCATCAACCTGGCCATCCCGGGCCTCATGCTCCGGAGGCTGAAGAAGGGCAACCTCCCCATCCGCTCCATCATCCCCAACAACGAGGACAAGGAGAAATTTGTCAAGCGCTGCAAGACGGATGTGGTGGTTCTGTATGACGAGGCGACCACGGAGCGGCAAGAGTCCGGGCTGGGGAGCTCCGTTCTGGGGCTGCTCCTGCAGAAACTGCGGGACGACGGGTGCAAGGCTTTCTATCTGGAAGGTAAGATCGGGCATTGCTGGCTTTAAATCTGTGTAGTAGTCCATTTAATTCATAAAGATTTCTAAGTGACTTTCAGCAGAAAGACAAATAGCCTAGTTTAATAATTTCTCAGATTTAAACAGGAAATGTGACTGTTATGAAGGCGCCCTTCTCACCGTACAGTAAACAATGATAAAACAACAATATAAAGGTTTTGTCTGAGATAATTTAATTACCGGTAATGGATAGGCTACACATGTACTGGATTTGGTCTCCTGGTGTCTGTGGCATATCTGGAATAAAGCGCGTGAGATTTGGGCGCTTGGAAAAGATATTGCTTCGTTAAAACGCGTTTTCACATTTGGCAAGCCACTCGTATTAAAATACGTTTAATAACGTTACACGTTATTAAATTGTTTGTAGGGGTGTCACAACGTGCGATACTTAAAATAAATCCAGCTGTTAACATCTGGCTACAGACTAAAGTTTGTCTGTCAGGCTATTTATTGTTTATGCATCATAATGAGGCAGCGACAGTTTCATTCCGAACCACATTGTTATTTATACTAAATATAATGTAACGCATGAGCTAAACTCACTGCGAAGTCATAATGAACTTTGACAGAACACTTCCTTCACTTACTGCCGACAGAAACTATTGTCCTCATTTTAATTCTTAGTAGGACATAATCGATTTACTTTAAAGGCTAATTAAAAGAGACTTTATGTCCTGTGTGTGAATGTATAGAGTTGGGTTAAATATGTTTTCAATTAAATGCAGCCGAAATGGCCGCGCCATGTTGTGCTCCTTCAGGAAAAGACAGGCTTTTTTTTCATGAATGAACAGGGAAACGAGCAGACGACGACGCAGTCTGCGAATTATCCTCCAGCAGGAAAATCAAATGTAGTATCGTTAAAACAAACGGAGAGATACATATACAAAATATGGCAGCATTAGATTTGGATGTATTTGAGTTGTAGATGATCATAGAAATGTTTCACTGGAGTCACTGAAGCCCAGCTGCCATTCACAAAAAGTCCACTGAGCTGAGGAGTGAGTGTTGCTGCTGATTGTCCTGCTCTGCTGCGGATTCTCCCCAGGGCTCAGCTTTTCTCAATGGAGCACATCTGTCCCGCGTGTTTGCTTATTCATAATAACACAAATATGACCTATTCTGCAATATGTGATGTCGTGGTACATAAAAAAGATGGGGTGACAACAATAGCTTCATTTTCACAAATGTTATTTATTCAATTCTAAGCCCATATCATGATATAAGTTTAATACTATTTATGGTGTATTAATGTGAGTTAACTCTAGTGGGATTGAACAAGGTTTGTAAAGTGATTTTAGTTGGATGAAATCTTATATACCCCTGCCTGGCTACTGTATAGCATTTAATGTGATTATGAAATTGGTAAAATGTGTGTTTGATAGCATGATGTTTGCTTATTATTTATCACCCTCAATGTCTTTTTCTAAAATATTTTTTCTTTTTCTTCTTCTTCACCTCTGCTCAAATCCAAAAGGTTAATTCCTTGTCATTCAGGTTCTTGATCCACCTCTTGTATCCTGCAGATGTGACATTTAGCTACCATTTTGTATATGTTGAATTACAAATTTTGCCTCACAGAAAGAGCCCTGCCTGCGGCCATGTACTGAGTACAGTTTGTACACCACCCAGTGAAATGATTTCCTTGGCTTTATCCTAATGTTGACCTTTTTATGCTCTTTTCGTCATCCTGCAGGTGGCTTCAACAAATTCCAGTCGGAGTACCCCGAGCACTGCGAGACCAATTTGGACTGCTCCTGTCCCAGCAGCTCCCCACCAGCCTCTGTCCTCGGTCTGGGAGGACTCCGCATCAGCTCCGACTGCTCGGACGGGGAGTCTGACCGAGAGCCGGGCAGCGCCACAGAGTCAGAGGGCAGCCCGCTCCCCAACAACCAGCCAGCATTTCCCGTCCAGATCCTGCCGTACCTTTACCTTGGCTGTGCTAAAGACTCCACCAACCTGGATGTGCTTGGCAAGTACAACATCAAGTACATCCTCAACGTGACGCCCAACCTGCCCAACATGTTCGAACACGAAGGGGACTTCAAGTACAAACAGATCCCCATCTCCGATCACTGGAGCCAGAACCTCTCTCAGTTTTTCCCAGAGGCCATTTCATTCATTGGTAAGTTAAGGTGGAGTAATCAGTTCATGTCTGTTATATTATGTTCCACATCTCTTTTGTTAGCAGCAGGGTAATGATTATTTTGATTATCAATTAATCTGCTAATAAGTATCTTGATTAATCATTTAGTCAATAAAATAGAAAGTGATGAAAAATCCCAACAGTCAAAGGTATACCCAAAGGTATTCAGTTTACTGTCATATTGTCATACTGTCATAGGCTACATGAAAGAGTCAAGCAGCAGACGTACACACTTTAAGAGGCTGGAACCAGAAAACATTTGGTATTTTTGCTTTGAAAATGGATATCAAAAGAGCAACTGATCAATTAATCAACTAGTTATGTTTAGAGTTGCAACTAAGCAGTTAACTTCAATAGATCCAAAGGTTTTCTGCCCTTGTTTTATTAGAATCATTTCCCAAAGTTGGAAAACTATTCAGTAATTTACAAGAATAAAACAAAAATTAGAGTCTTTGTGAAGTATATATTTTTGTATATTTCGCAACCACTTGTGGAGGTCCAGAAACTCAGGTTTAATTATAAATCATGAAAGAAATAGAAATAATTTTGTGGCTATAGTTTTAAACAGAACTGGTTGGAAATTACTTTGGTGAGCTGCATTTAGACAGTCCGCTGTCTGTATTTGAATTATTATTGATTAAATATGAATTTTATATCTCACAATATAAAGCAAAGTTTTAAGTAAACCATGGAAATAGATTTGTTGAGAATCGGGTCACACTGAAGCCACAAGAAGTTTAGCCGTCATCCCACTGTCAGTATTTCCCATCATTCCTCCTGACTGAATTCCCAGGGAATGAGTAAATTCCCTCTCTGATGAGTCGATGAGAATGCCAGAGTCTTTGTGCTTGTCTTAGATTGTCCAGACCCTCCTGTCATTCGTCTTTCTTTGTAGACTGATGTTTCTGCTTAGGCAGGAGGAAGTGTGACATATGCCAGAGCCAGAGGTCGTGGCAGATTTGGGTCATGCTGATGTTAAATGGTTCTGTCTGGCTGGCTGTAATATGCAGGGATTACATCAGGTCTTTTCGGTAACAGCAGGCTAATTATGTGTAAAGGAGAGAAGATCGGGCTGAAAGGGAGACCCAACACTGTTCTGTTTTAAACTGTGGATTCCTCAAATGGATGAATTTATTTTATGAGCGTGTTTTTTGTGTGTATTTTGAATTTATGGCATTTTAACAGCCTGACAAATGGACGATTCTTGTGGTATAAATGTATTTAAAGCACAAATAAAGTAGTGTAATGCCACACATCTGCACAATCTGAAGATCAGTTCATGACAGATTAAACACCGATTACTTATTTCGCTTCTGAGTCTTGTATCGTTAGGTTTGGGTCTCTTTATGAGAGTTTTTTTTTTGGGGGGGGCCTTTTTATTGTGTGAAAGTGAGCACACATCACATATAAATTTAATTCGGCATCCGCTTGGCAGCCTGAGCTCATGAGCCAACTGACCCCAATCCTACAACAAGAGATGCAAGCAGAGAGAGTGAGGAGAGGCAGAGAGAGAGATAACGGAGAGGATGAGAGAAAGAGAAGGAAGAAAGGAAAGAAGCACTTAACTCTCGCTCTAATGGCCTGTAGTGATGCAAGTGCAAGGCCTGGAAACTGATAGAAGGTGGATGGATGTTGCTTGTTAATAATGTAAGATGTTTTTTGATTCAGGTTTTTTCTACAGACAAAGGGTAGAAAGCAGAATGTAACATGACTTTCTGGTGTCATTGACAGAGGTCATCCTGGATCTTATGTTATGGCTTGGAGTGTCCTCGCGTTATACTGTACAATTTCCTACTTGTTCACTTACAAATTAGTATTAATGAAAGTGTGAATTTGAACAATTTATATTGTCATTAAAATGCTGATCAGAACATCTAAAGACTCCTTCCTTTCTGACACTTTGATATTTTGAAGGTACATTACAGAATGGTAAGTTTGAACAGTAATCTAATTCCTCTTCTCATCTTTCTTCCCATCCTCCTCTGTCCCTCCCTCCCCCTCCTCCTCCTCCCCCTCCTCCTCCTCCTCCTCCCCCTCCTCAGACGAGGCGCGCTCAAAAAAGTGCGGCATCCTGGTGCACTGCCTGGCCGGGATCAGCCGCTCAGTTACCGTCACGGTGGCCTACCTGATGCAGAAGCTTAACCTGTCGCTCAACGACGCATACGACTTCGTCAAGCGGAAAAAGTCCAACATTTCCCCAAACTTCAACTTCATGGGCCAGCTGCTAGACTTTGAGCGGACGCTGGGCCTCAACAGTCCCTGCGACAACCACTCGACCTCCCCGACGCACGAGCAGCTCTTCTTCACCACCCCGACCAACCACAATGTGTTTCAACTGGACACGCTGGAGTCCACATGAAAATAATACGGGGGACTGTCCCTTTTTTTGCGGGGTCAAGGTGGTGTTGTTACCATGGTAACAAGCGGCTGCACTGGAGGGAAGCAGCCTGTTTTAATGAATGTTTTAGCCTCCCAAGGCGGGTCATCTAAGAGCCTGGCCACGGAGCAGCGTTGGAGGGACGGGGAAGGTCACAGATGCCACGGTAAAGGGGAAGGGGAGCTGAGAGACAGGTTTATGATGGCGTCCTCCTCAGAGTTGATTGAAATCGAGGGAGGAAAACCCCCCCCGATCAACGTGTCTACTAACGAAGAACTGAGGAGACTTAACTGACTGAGAAACTGACCGGCACAGACAGCTTCATAAAAAGATAGGAACACAGAAAAATCTACAGCGTTAATTCATGAGACGACGAAGTCCTCTCTGTCTTTCTGTCTTGTCTCCTCGAGCAGGGCTGACTGGTGCGAAGTGGAGAATCTGGGATTTACCTAGGAAATCTTGCTCTACTGAATGTAGAGATTTATAAACCAAGGAATGAACACACACATAAACAAAGTATGTATGTTTGTACTGTATGTATGTTAAACGTACATAGAAAATGTATGGGCAGTCCTTAACAAATTCAGTATGTCTATATGCATTTATGTATATTTTTGTGTACATTTACACACAAATCTATACCTTTATATAAATATATACGTATAGAAATCTTATCTATCCAATCCAATAATGGCTTAAGAGAATGTAAAACTAAAGAAGAGGAATGGGTGTGGTGACGCCAACAAAGAGAAACGTTGTGATATTCCTAGTTGTCTTCTTTTTTTGTTAAGTTTGGTTTTTATTTTAGATTTGTAATGACCTTATGCAGTTTGCACAGTGGTGTAGCCATTGACTTGTTGGCACTTGGAGACAGTGCTTGGAAGCAGGCAGATAAAGAGACATTCAGAGAAGAGGAGCAGAGAGGCCAGTCCCAGGCTGCGATGAGTCCCGACAGCTGCACAGTGGAGTTGGGAGGGAACTGTGCCCCCCCCCCCCAGCAAAGGACAAGGTTCAGGGGTTAGAGGGTTAGGCCTAGGCCATGGGGTTAGATAACATCAGTTGAATCATGGTTGTGTAAGGGTGAAGATTCTACAGTAGAACTGACATTTGGCCAACTTATTTCAAGCGCAAGTTCCCGGTTCCTACTTCCTTCCTCAAATGACTGTTCATCCAGTTGCCTAACAAGAAGTACCGGTTGTTGTCCACCATTTGTTTTGATTATTTTAGTCGTTTGTTTCATTTCAGTTAGAAACTAAACTCTGCACATCCTTGGTTATTTCATCACAGGGTATTGTCTTATGTATGTTTTGCCAAACCGGCTTCTAACGGCTCTGACTTTTGTACTTTGAGGCAGAGACTTGAATAAGAGGTAAGGGTTAGGGTTGGTGTTGGGGGACGCTAGGGCAGTGTTAACATTTCTGAGCAACCTTTTGGGCAGCTTATCTGAGCAACCTTGGGCAATGAAGTGCCTCAACACTCTTGTATTACCTTACTTCTTATTGCCTACGAGGAAGTTGTTCAATTTGCTGTCCTATCCTAGGTCCCCTTTTAGGACACAGGTACAAATTTGCCAAAAAAAACGTACTCTCGGACAAGGGACTTTGAACACAGTCTCTGTGTTTGGATTATGGTGTTGTGAACTGGGACTGGACTGGCTACAGACAGCACTTAGCTACTTCAATAGCTTCATGTCATTTAACTGCTTTGGAGAAAGTAGAAGGACATTCTATCTGCAAAGGGATCACCAATTTCGTCAAAGAAAAGTTTGAGTTGATTCACCCTTAAGCCTTGGGTATATTAAATGAAAAATATATTAAACACAAATTGATATATATATAAGTATATATATATTATAGAGCTAATAGTAAACTGATTTATTTTGTATACCTGAGCATGCTATGGTACTGTATGCTCTCTAACAGTAGTCGTAACCACGGGTTGGATGTTGCTTTACCAGGTGGGAAGACGAACGATGGGGACCGTTTTTTTAACTGCTGTTGCTGCTGAATACAGCAGTACACAGCATATGCTTAACGTGTTTTCTGAGACCCTGTTCACATCCAAGGCACCTTAACATAAAAAACTTCAGTCGTTGTCCGTTTAATGTAGGTTTCATCTTATGAGTGGAACAGCACTGCAGCACTGGGGCATACGCCAATAACTGTACACTGGGCGTCATCCAAGAACATTTTCGTATCCTAAATCTCCCTTAGTTTTCTTCTGTGAGGGTTGCTGGTATTAGTATTCATGTTAAAACGGATTCAGCTCGTAACTTCACAAACTTGACGTAAATCCCTCTTTTCAACATGATTAATGCCACCTGTACACGAGGACGCGCACATCCGTCAGCTGCAATCGTTACCTTAATGGGTGCTCCAAAAATGTCTATATAAGGCTGCCTGTTCCGCTCAACTTGTAGGCAAGTTCATTCACAAAAATGTCAATAAGAGTAAAAAGGTGAACAAATCACCTGACAAAAACATCACAGATTTAGCATTAACCTGGGGAAAAAAGTAAAAATTGACTATTACTATGTTTGTCTACGGATTTTTAAAGGTGAGGCGGTCTATATAGACTGGTTACAGGTAAGGAGGAGTATGAGTGGTTCTTGCACAAGGCCTATTATTCATAGCAAACCACAGAAATGTGCTTTCAAAGCGGGGATGTGGACGGGGTCTTAACAGAAACAAAGAACTGGGTTTCAGAGGGGACAGCAGTTGAATCTGAACAGGGTTGGTTTTAGCTGGCCTTATATAATCTTTCTAACTTGTTTCTAATGCTGACTGTTCAATACTCTTTGTATCTCACTTTAGGAAAATATTAAAAAAAGAAACGTTTGCTTATATCTGTTATTCGAATCAGATCATGGTAATAATAGACAGCGAGCTGTCTTCTTACCGTAACGGGTCACACGAGGTCCTCTTTGTTACTCTGCAATATATCAAAACACCTTTTTGCAGTATTTTGTAGATCCAAGACCTCAAACATTTTTGAAATCTTCTTTTTTTGTACTATATCTATTCTATATAATGATACAAGATCCAGCTCGATGTGGCTTGTGGACTGAAGTAACATTTCACCTGGGGTGCCCAAAATGCAGGGCCGGCCTGCCCATTACTAACCTGAAAGAGGCCCTCACGAAAACGCACACACGCATCCAGTTATGTTTCACAAGACGATTACACCCCCTGGCTTTAATAATTTCAAGGTCTTTTTCTGTCTTGTTTTGATATAATGTGCTCTATGCTCTTCCTGTGGCCTTTCTATATGAATATATATATATATTAGTGTGTGTGTGTTATGAATTTATATGCAAAAGTTCCTCTCCTATTATAGCACCATGAAGATAATACTACCATGCTTGAATTGACTTCCCTTGTTAGTAGTTATATCCCACTTACAATAACAAAAACAGGACTTGATCACTTGCACCCTAGGATTGAAATCTATTTCAGCACGGAGCTTTTTTATTTAAAAAGTATTTGGTTGATTTCAAGCTGCTTTCTTTTGTTTTTTGTGTCTTTGTAATAATGAAAGAGGAATCTTTTTTCTCTGTTTGTAAATTTTCTAGATCACAGGAACGGCCGTTTCTGTGTCCTTAAACTTGTAGCTACATATTGGTGAGAATGTGCTCGGGAGGGAAAGACGTGAATGAGCGAGAGGCGGTGGCGTTACATACAAAGTGAAAGAAAAAGTGAATGATTTTAAAAATGTTACCTCAGTGAGGAATTTTTCAGGGATTTTTTTGACAATGCATCTTGCATCGTGTTACAGCTTCAAACACACGTTGAATAGCTGTTTTGTATTGTGCTGTAAACAGTTTTTTAAAAAGATGCAATCTGTCTGTGTATAAAAACATGGGGCATGTTAACAGGGCAGTTTTACGTTTCTGTCTACTGAAGGATATCTGTTTGACCCTATGTATTGTACAGTATATGGAAACAACACAAGACATGTTTATACCGCAAATAAATATTGAAATATTTTTTTCTTTAACATGTTTCCTTTTTATTTATTTATTTATTTATTTCTCTAAAACATTAAAATCATTTTAAGTAGGATATACAATAAATGCAGAAGAATTTGTCATAATTAAATTAATCAACATAAAAAGAGTTTACATACAGTACAGTATTTGTTAGATTATTTATTGGATTGATTAATTTAGTAGGTTATACTGTAAGGCAATGGTTTCCAACCTGAGGGTCGGGACACACACAAAGGGTCAAAGATAAGTAACTAAAGAGCAAAAAAGCTCAAAAATGTACACAAACTTATGTTATTGTAAACACACATACTTATTCTTTTGAATGTTGAACTTTTGCTTTAAAATGTGAATAGTAGATACTAAGTCCAATCAGATAGACCCCTTTTCACAGTAATCTAGCAACAAAATCACAGTTTATCATTATCACAAGTCCCTCTATAACCCTAAGCATTTACTGTATACTATGTTCAACTATAATAACATTTAATAATAATGTTTTACATACACTATACACTCAATACACTATAATGTAGTTGTAAGGAGCTTTAAGGATATTTAAAATGTTTATTCAGGTACAGTATTTGTCAACAATTATAACTTCTCTAATGAAGACATTTCATATAATTGTAACTGTGTTTACTGTATTGTCATTACCTGTTGCTAGACCAGCTTCCACTTACGGATGCCCACATAAGAAGTTATAGTTGTTGACAAAAACATTGATGAACACTGTTGCACATAACGACTTTATAGCATGTTATAAACTATTTATTCAATGTTCATATATTGCTTATGAATGCTAATTGGGAGACTTAAAGTGTCCAGACTTGATGTCAAATAAACCTTTCTGAAAAAGATTATTTAGAACAACAAGACTGTAGCAACTGCTGTTTCTTTTTGTCTTTTGGTTTTCATATGCCTAAGACTTCCCCCACAATCACACGTACACACGCACACAAAGGGTTTATCTTATTGTGTCTTTGCTGTGGTCTTTAGGGTTTCTGACAGCTACATATCCGATTGCTTAAACTGAAACTCCCTTCCCATACACAGCTGTATGTTTTTTATGTGCGGTATGTTGTTTGTTTGCCATAAAGAAAAATAGAAAAACACAACCCACCTCAACCCCTTTGATCACAGTTTAACCCCTAGTGTTTATTACCACATATTTGCATTTCACCACATTATTAAAGTAATACTTCAACATTTCTGCTGAGGGTTAGATGAGAAGATTGATACCGCTCTCATGTGAAGCTACTGCAAGTCTGTCTTAGCTTAGCATAAAGGCTGGGAACTTGGGGAAACAGCTAGCCTATCCAAAGGTAATTCCACCTACCAGCACTTCTATAGCTCACTAATTGGCAGAATTAGTCAATACAAAAACCAAAGTGTAAAAATTATTTGGTTTTACAGAGCATTATGTAACAGACTATTTCCAGGATTTTCCGCTTGTTGCCTGGCAACTGCTTTTAAGAAATATTTGGCACATAACCTCCCAAAAAACAGCAAATTTATGTATTTACACTTCGGTATTTGAATAGAATCAACAAAGAATATAAAACCTGTTAGTTAGTGAGCTTTAGAGGTCCTGGCAGCAGGTATTGTGTTACCTTTGACAAAGCCAGGCTAGCTTTTTCCCACTGTTTACAGTGTTTTGCTAAGCTAAGCTTACCAGTTGCAGGCTCTAGCTTTATACTGTGTTTATCATACATGTGAGTTGTATCAATCTTCTGATCTAAGTCTCAACAAGAAAGCAAATAGTAAGTAAGTAAGTAAGTAAAAGTACATGAATATTTTTGAGCCTACAAGAATAAGGTTTCTCATTGTATAAACTGCCAGTAGAAATCCAGCTGTGTTGCAGAGAAACGAGGAATAACATCGCTCTTTCTCTAAGCTTCACCGTCCAATATCTGTGTATCCATTAACTGTTCCCTCATATAACCTAAACTGCCTTTTCTATCTTGTCAAATCGCGGGAATAAGGGCACATGTGCACATGAAAGCTGACAGTGACAGTGAGAGAGCATGAGAATGAGCAAAGTGAGGAAGCGAGAAGGAGGTTGGCGGAAATAAAAAGAGCATCTTAAAGACAGCGCTGTGAGGTGAGCTGAGCCAGCTATAAATATCTCCCCCTCTTCTCTCCTCATCTCCTCCAGTGTTGCCCTCGCTTCTCTTGCCTCTATCTACAGCGGCTCTTTTTCATTTTTGCTGTGACTTCCTCTGCCGTCTCATCATCAAGTGAGCCATTCACTTCATGGTATTTCAGACAGGATATTAGAGTGACAGCGGAGGTGAAATAATGCCCCACTGTGAGAATGAACGACATTACGGAGAGATTCTTTTTTGGTTCCTGGTAACATGATGACAGGGTTTCCCACACACCCATGACAGTGACAGTTCATGGAACAGGAAATGTTTTTCACTCTAATTTGAACTAATTAAAACTGAGATTTAATGATAAACTGGGATAGTTTATGGAAGTGATCAAAAGATCAGTGACATTTACGGTGTTGTCTATACAACTGAAGCACTTCTGTGGGCTTGAACCCTGCTCACTAATGAAGATGCTTCGCCCTGGTTTCCAGAAAGGTTCATGTTGTTGTTCATAGCTGTTGACATAATTTGACATAATTTTTGGTGCAACAAGTTCACAAAGTATCACTTTTTGGGATGGTTTTGAGTCGTATTATTACAAAAGTCTTGGATCTTATTATTTTCAAATGTAATTTCTGAAGAAATTTAGCTATCTTCTCTTTTCCTATCTGACTATGCTAATTCTTTACACTTATCCATACAATGTGTTACCAGTAGCTTAAGTAGGTACAGTAAGGAAAAATAGTGTAGCTTATTGTAAGCTTATTATTAATTGCAATAAGAAGTGAGTTAAGCAGACCTCTGCAGCCCACTCCCCATCTCTGCTTGAGGCTAGCATCTCAGGGCAACATTTGCCATGCTAGTAGCATAACACACCTGAATCTCTGACTAACTGTTGATGGTAGTAGATGGGAGTTCTACTGTGGGTAATGTAAGCACCCAGATTTGATTGATTGATTGATTGATTGATAGATTGATAGACTGATTTAAAGCCAATTTGACGTAGAGGCCAAACAGTGGAATTACAACTTCCGGGTCCGATACGTGATGCACACTGGCCCTAAAATACGTTTCCCTAAAGACTTACATTGTGAAACAAGTGGCTGTAAAATGGTGGATAATTTTTTTGAGAAACGCCCACAAAATCATTAATTTCACCATCTGAATTTGATATATTGGGTTTAATAACATTTTTAAAGTCTAGAAGAGCGACACGGTTAAATAATTTTATCGCTATTCAAGATAGCGGAGGGCTAAACTAGATGTTAGCCTGTTCCGCCAAGGAGTCTCTGGTGCCCTTAATGGGCCCCCATCATGGCCGAGGGAGGTGGGGTTAGAGTAAATGCTAGTGCACTTGCTGCTGTGGGGCAGCACAATGCAGAAGTAATGTGGAATTTTTTTTTTCCGTTTTTGGCTTCATGCACCACTGGATAGCATTATATAGCATCTGTTTCTCTTTTTACATCCATGGTTTTTAGAAGGATGGAAAAATACGCGTGTAGAAAAAGATAAGAGTATCTCTGTTTTTGCTGCATTGATTTTGGTCCTTTTGGTCCATCGTGAGTTTTACAATCATATTTCCTAACCTTGAGACCTCAAAAATAGGGAGGACTTCGAAACTAAACTGGGGGTCCTCGCCCAGAAAAATTTAAGCTTCAGAGACTTTGTTTTCTGCATTATGGTGACTTTTAAAGAATGAAAATAACAAAATAAAAAGTTCACTGAACATTTTATGTTAAATACTTTTAATTTTACTTCTACTTCTCAGGAAAGAATACAGAATAGGTAGCCTATCTTTATGTGAACTTTTGTGAATCTCTGGAATTCTTCTTTCCAGGACATCTGAAATTTGGTGGATGTCAGAGACCTTTTGCTCCTCCACCTTCCGTTTGAGGATGCCCCACAGATGCTCAATAGGGTTTAGGTCTGGAGACATGCTTGGCCAGTCCATCACCTTTACCCTGAGCTTCTTTAGCAAGGCAGTGGTCGACTTAGAGGTTTGTTTGGGGTCGTTATCATGTTGGAATACTGCCCTGCTGCCAGTCTCCAAAGGGAGGGGATCATGCTCTGCTTCAGTATGTCACAGTATATGTTGGTATTCATGGTTCCCTCAATGAACTGTAGCTCCCCAGTGCAGGCAATACTCATGCAGCCCCAGACCATGACACTCCCAACACCATGCTTGACTGTAGGCAAGACACGCTTGTCTTTGTACTCCTCACCTGGTTGCCACCACACACGCTTGAAAGCATTTGAACAAAATAAGTGCATCTTGGTCTCATCAGACAACGGGACATTGTTCGAGTAACCCATGTCCTTAGTCTGCTTGTCTTCAGCAAAATTTTTGTGGGCTTTCTTGTGCATCATCTTTAGAAGAGGCGTCCTTGATGGATTGGAACCTGTCCTGTTGAACCGATGCATGGTCTTGGCCACCGTGCTGAAGCTCAGTTTCAGGGTCTTGGCCATCTTCTTATAGCCTAGGCCATCTTTATGTAGAGCAACCATTCTTTTTTTTCAGATCCTCAGAGAGTTCTTTGCCATGAGGTGACATGTTGAACTTCCAGTGATCAGTATGAGTGTGAGTGTGAGAGAGATAACACCAAATTTAAAACACCTGCTCCCCATTCACACCTAAAGCTGATGATACACGGAGCACGAGTCACATGACCCCGGGGAGGAAAAATGGCTAATTGGGCTCAATTTGGACATTTTCACTTAGGGGTGTACTTACCTTTGTTGCCAGCGGTTTAGACATTAATGACTGTGTGATTATTTTGAGGGGATAGCAAATTTACACTGTTATACAAGCTGTACACTCACCACTTTACATTGTAGCAAAGTGTAATTTCTTTAGTGTTGTCACATGAAAAGATATAATCAAATATTTACAAAAATGTGAGGGGTGTTCTCACTTT